CAGTTTCAATAAATGCAGAAAGTACATCTGATAAAATTCAATGCTTATTCCTAATAAATATTTTCAGAAAACTAGGACCTGAAAGTAACTTCCCCAACCTGACAAAGGTCACTGATAACAGCTAAGAACAAAACATGACTAACATCATACTTAATCATGGAACATTGAATGTTTTCCCCTAAGATCAAGAGCAAGGCAAGGATGTCCATGTTCACTTCTCCTATTTAGTATTATACTTGAAATCCTAACTAATGAATAAGGCAAAGGAAGACGTAGAACTGTCTTTATTTGTAAATGACATCTCTTATTTAAAAATTCTAAGAAATCACCAAAACAGTAAGTGGAAGTAATAAGTGATTTTACTAAGGTCACAAGATTCAAGGTCAAAATACAAAAGTCAATTGTATTTGTATACACTGGTAACAAACAATTGCAAATTGGAGTTTTAAAATGCTGCTTATGATAACATCAAAAAATCAATTACTTAGGAATAAACTTAATGGAAGATGTGCAAGACTTCTACACTTGGTATTATCAGACTTTTAAATTCTTGCTAATCAAAGGGGTATAAAATGATATCTAATTGTGGCTAGATTAAATTTCTTGAATCATTAATAATGTTGACCATTTCTTCATAAATGAATTAACCATATGGGTTTTCTCTTCTTAGAAATGTCTATTCATTTTGTTTCCTTGCATATTGTTTGCTTTTCTTGTAGATGTGTAGAATGCCTTTAAATATTTTTTATATGAATTCTTTGTCAGTTGTATAAATTTCAGTTACCTCTTTCCAGTTTGTAAATCGTTTGGACTGATTTTTATAAATTAAGACTGGTAACATTTGAGTACTACAATTAGGGTAAGTGGGGGAGGAGATGTTTTCTCTTCATTTTCTAGCCTTCTCTATGGTTTGAATACTAAATACATGTCTATTTTTGTGTGTATATGGCGGGTGCGGAAATTTCAGTAGTATGTGCCATTGTATCTGCTAAGCCTCATCAACAGTTTCCTTGATGGAATGGAAATGGCAAATAATGAGGGAAGGAGGCTTTCACTTTTTATTTTATATATTTCTGGGTTTTGTAAATTATTTTTCTTTCCCCTCCTTTTTTTTTTACAGTAAGCAAGGTGTTTTTGTTTGTTTGTTGTAAATATGAAGCAATGAGACACTTCTTCCGAGAACACTGGTTGAGTACTTTCTCCTTTGCACTTTCCTCTGTATTTTGTGCATTAAACTATTATAGGTAGTAGAAATTATCACCCTATACTTGTCTTTCTTCCCTACTATATTGTGGGCCTCTTGAATGATGGTTGGGGTTACTGACTTATTTATCTATGTATTCTCAATACTTAATAAAGTACTTATTATACATATATGTAATAATATTTATTGGGTAAAATAATGAAGAAATGAATAATTATACTTGCTTAAGAGTAGATTTTGAGGGGAGTTATTCAATGTAGTGGGAGAACAGTATTTGATTAAGAATTGAGTATTAGACCAGAGGTTGGATTTTGTTTTTTCTTTAAAAGGCCAGATAGCAAATGTAGACTTTTATAGACCATGTGTGGTCCTGGTCTCTTACTCTTTTGTTTTTCTTACAATCCTTAAGAAATATAAGATTGCCGGGCCCGGTGGCTCAGCCTGTAATCCCGAGCCTTTGAGAAGCTGAGGTGAGTGGATTGCCTGAGCCCACGGGTTCGAGACCCGCCTGGGCAACTTAGCGAGACCTCATCTCTACAATAAATAAAAAAAATTAGCTGGGCATGGTGGTGCGTGCCTGTAGTTCCAGCTACTCGGAAGGCTGAGGCGGAAGGATCGCTGGAGCCCAGCAGGTAGAGGCTGCTGTGGCCGGGAGCAGCCACTGCACTCCAGTCTGGGTGACAGAGTGAGACTCCAACTCAAAAAATATATATATATAATTTTTCTTAACTTGTAGGCCATAGATTAACAGCTTCTATCTTAGACAGTACCTACAGGTAGGAGGTTGAAAAACAAGAGACAGTGAAGATACCCGCAGAGGCCTTTCTATGTTCTCCTGCTTGCCCTCAGTCATAAACTCTCAATAAATTTGTCTTTAGCCCTCAGGTTCGTAGCCTGTAATTATGGAATGTTCCAAGTCATTAGTAAATTCTGTCTCTAGCTATGGCCTTTGTGTTTGTTACTGGTTTCATCCCATATCAACATGAAATTCAGTCCTTTCATCAACTTACACCTCACACACATGCACATTTGCATGTGCAATACACACATGCACATAGGTCCACTCAAAATAAGTATTTTGTGAGTTTAGTTACTTTACTGCATATTTAAGGAGTAATTGAGAAAATTCACATTAAGAACAGTTACTTGGCTTTATTACTCTTCTCCCACAGGACAAATTAATTTCATTTAAGATCTTATGCAAGTGGAATTGTTTCACTAATTTTTTTGAAACTGTGCCCCCCAGAGTCACCAACTCCAAGCATATTTATTAAAACACTCTATCCAACAGATAAAATTTATCCCTAACAATAGTCATAAATAATGATGATGATAGTAATAGCAACTGACACATATATCAGGCATAGTATGGGGCATACAATTCTAAGTACTTTAGTCCTCACAGTAAATCCATGAGATAAATACTATTTTTTTTTTTTGAGTACAAGCAATAGAAGTTTATTCAAATTTTCTTTTTTTTTTTTTCATTAATCAGTATTTTTTATTATGGTTTTGTGGGGTACAGTTAAGGGTAGGTGTACAATGACGTTTCATTCAGGCACCCTGTAGATAAGAAGTGTTTTCCCATCCCCCGACAGATATTTGCTACTGTTAATCCCATCCCCCTCCCCCCCATTGTTTCCCAGTACCATCCGTCATTTTCTCATAGTATTGCATTGGATGTTCAAGGTCCATTATATGAGTGAGAACATGTGATATTCGGATCTTTGTTTTTGTGAGAGGTCACTCAGTATTATAGACTCTAGTTCCATCCAGGTTGCAGCGAAATTCATGATTTTGTTCTTTTTTATGGCTGCGTAGTATTCCATCGTGTATATGTACCACATTTTTTTAATCCAGTCCTCTTTTGATGGGCAGCATGGTTGTTTCCAGGTTCTTGCTATTGTGAACAATGCTGCGATAAACATATGTGTGCAGGTATCTTTTTTATAGAGTGATTTGTGTTCTTCAGGGTATATTCCCAGTAGGGGGATTGCAGGGTCATATGGAAGGTCAATTTTTAGAGCTTTTAGGAATTGCCACACTGCTTTCCACAGAGGTTGCACTAGTTTACACTCCCACCAACAGTGTAGAAGTGTTCCCTTTTCACCACACCCTCTCCAGCAGCTGTTAGATAAATACTATTATTATCCTCATTTTACAAAGGAGGAAATAGTCACTGAGGGTTTAAGCAACTCTCCTGCAGTCACATATATTCAATGGAGAGGAAAGTTTCAAGCCATTAGGGTGAGGATGATCCAAAGTGTCATAAGCAGAGAGTCTCAGAAGGATGAGACTTGAAAAACAATCCTTATGCAGTCATGGATTACTTAACAACTGGGATACATTTTGAGAAATGTGTTGTTAGTCAATATCATGATTGTGTGAACATGACAGAGTATACCTATGACAGGCCTAGGTGGTATAGCCTACTACTCACCTATGCTATATGGTGGAGTCTATTTCTTGTTGGGAGCCGGCCACGGAGGCCCACCTGAACGTTAGGGATCAAGGTGGGCCATGGACCCCGAGACCACTAGGATGTGTTTGGGAGCTGTTGACCCCATTCCGTTCTCCCTTTTTCATTTTAGCCAAAAGGATCTCTGCCTTCCTAAGCTGAAGTCTCTGTGACTGTAACAGGCATGGCTTACTCTAGAAACTCATTATTCCTATTTCCCATGAACTGCGGTTTTGGCCTAGGTATTAGATATAATTCAGACTCAGGTCACATTTGCGAGCCTTCTATACAGTGCAAGCTTCTTTATAAGATTTAAAAGTATATTTGTAAAATTAGTATATACATATGGAGAGCTGCTTCCAGCTTTAGATGGTATAGATGATTATCTAGAGTTACCAGAAATGGCCCAGCACGAACTTTGGACTGGGCCACATTCCTAAGGGCCCAGCGTGTACTTTGGACTGGGCTGCATTCTTTTAAACCAGTTTTTAGCTATAGTTAGTGTAGGGCTTTTCTACTTATTATAGAAATTTAATTTATTTTATTCGTGGAAAGTATTGTAGAATGAGTTATGCTACATCAGTGAATTATGTTAGTTCAAGCATGATCAAACATGATATTTTGAGGTTTAATAAGAATACAGCTAACTTTAGAAATTTCAGTGATAAAAGGCTTATGGTTCGTCCCATTAAATGGCGTCTGCACTAGACAGAGTCCAGTCTCTTTCATTCTCCCCTCTTTCTTTCTTTTAATATCTATCCCTACAGAATCGCTGATGCCACCACACCTCCCGAGGGACCCCTTAAATCTCTCTGCAGGGGCTGGCCCCCTGCAATTTCTCCTGGGCTACAAACCTGTGCAGCATTTTACTGTACTGAATACCATAAGCAACTGTGACACAATGGTATTTGTGTATCTAAATACACCTAAAGATAGAAAAGATTATGCATTGTGCTATGTTACAATGTCACTAAGCAATAGAAATGTTTTAGCACCATTATAATCTTTTGGAACCACCATCATATATATATATTATGCAGCACATGACAGTTACATATTTGGAAGGTTAAGATTAGTGAATTTTTTAAAGAACTGCTTCAGTTAAGTATTGGGGCTGAGACAGTATTTCAAGGCATAAAATGAGAGTGGTTGGCAAGAAAATGTAAATAATGATGATAGATCAGAATTTCTCCTTAGTTTAATCCTCTGTAGTTGAAATAATTAAATCTATTATTTTGCTTAGTTATATCTGCAGTGTTTTGCCTGTAGCCTCATAAAAGTTTTTTTTTTAAGTTGTTTTACATTATTACTTTCTCTTGTTATTGTGCAATCTTCTAGGATGTGGTACCACAGGTTGTCCTACTTAAAAAGCAGGCTTCAGGACTTGCTGAAGGGAGGAGTCATATGTCAGGCCCTTCAATGGCCCAGCATCAAAAGCTTACTTCCTTTACCTGTCCATTGGAACCATACTGCCTCCAACACTGTGAATTGTGCTTGGCAGCAACATGAAGACCATTTTGGTAAGAGACGTATGGGGACAGACACTTTTTAAAAATTGTGGTAAGAAGTGTTCCCTTTGGCAGCACATCAGCACATATACCAAAAATTGCAATGATAAAATTGTAGTAAGAAAACACATAGTATAAAATTTACTACTGTAACCATTTTAAGTGTACAATTCAGTAGTGTTAAGAGTATTCACATAGTTATGCAATGGCAAATACATTGCACATAGTATATAATTTGCCACTGTCACGATTTTAAGTGTACACTTTAGCAAGTAAGATTACTCACATTTTTATGCAATGACAAATACATTTTGTATGATGTGAAAAATACTTTTTGTGGAGTTGAGAGGACCTCTAGCCATTTATTTCCAAGATTATTTTAGAAGTTGGGAGAAAGACAAAAATAGCACAGGGTAGCAGTGAAATCCCATCCCAATTAGGGGAAAGAAACTCTGCCTTGCTCCAGTCCTACTCCATTTCCCTGTCTTACTTAAGGGGAGAAAAAAAAGAGAAAGAAAAGAAAACCTTAATATACAGGGAAGAGGATTTCAAAGACAGACTAGGAATGTTAAAACCATAGATGGTGGGGAAGGAGGAGCATTACTCTTGTGTTTGAGTTTTCTAGGGCAACCTTAACAAATTATGCAAATGAGGTGATTTATAACAACATAAATTTATTCTCTCATAGTTCTGGGGGCTAGGAGTTTCTAGTTTCTCATGGTTGCCAGCAAGCATTGGCATTACTTTGCTTGTGACAACATCATTCCAGTCTCTGCCTCCATCTTCACATAGCTTTCTTCATTGTGTCTCCTCTGTGTCTTCAAATCTCTCTCTCCTTATAAAGATTCTATTCACCGGATTTGGAGCCCACTCTATTTCAGTGTGATCTCATTTTAACTTGATGACATCTGCAAAGACTGTATTTCCAACTAAGGTCACATTCACAGGTACCAGGGGCAACATATACTTTTAGGGGATACAGTTCAATCCACCACACCTTGGAAGAGAGAAAAAAATGGAAAAGTCACATTCCCAAGATACGAGCCACTGTACACTCCAAAGACTGAGACTTAAGATTGTAGAATGTCATCCTCCTCCACACGCTACAACAAGACAAGAAATCTCCAGTTAAAATAACAGAGCATCACAGCTGGGAGAGATGCAAGACATAGACTGTCTCTGAGGTACAACACAAAGGAAAAGACTAAGGCCAAGAAAGGAGACAAAAACAAGATCACTAGAGGAATTTAATGCCTCCAATACTCATAGAGATAACAAAAAAATCAAACACAGCCTAACTCCTGGGCAGATTAATATCAGTACTCATAGTAAAGTCCTGTTTACCTCAGTAGGTACTGCTCTATACAATATGTCTGAATTCCAACAGTAGCAAAATTATAAAATATGCTAAGGCAAGAAATAACACAATTTGAAGTGACAAAGTAAAATCAGAACTAGGTTTACATATGGAATAGTGTTGAAATTATCAGTCAGAATTTTAGGATTTTTTTCTATTTCTATGAAAAATATCATGCCATTGAGATTTTCGTAGGGATTGCATTGAATCTATAGATCACTTTGAACAGTATGGACATTATAATAGTATTCTTCCAATCCATGAACATGGAATGTCTTTCTGTTTATTTCTTTTCTCAACTTTTTATCAATGTTTTATACGTTTGAATGTAGAGATCTTTCACCTCCTTGGTTAATATTCCTAAGATTTTTTTGGTAATTATTCTAAATAGGATTTTTCTTGATTTCATTTTAGGATTGTTTATTGTGTTTGTAATACTGATTTTTGCATGTTGATTTTACTGAATTTGTTTATTCTAACAGGTTTTTGGTGAAATCTTTAGAGTTTTATATATATAAGATCATGTCATCAGCAAACAGAGACAATTTCATCTCTTTCTTTCCTATTTGGATGCCTTTTATTTCTTTTTCTTGCCTAATTATTCTGGCTAGGACTTCCAGCATGATGTTGAATAAGGGTGGCAAGAGTCATCATCCTTGTCTTGTTTCTCATCTGGAAAGAAAAATTTTCAACTTAAGATTCTGGATAGTTACACGATGGAATATTACACAGCCATAAAGAAAGACAAAATTATGAACTTTGCAGCAACTTGGATGGATTTAGAGACGATCATACTCAGTGACCTATCACAGAAACAAAGTACCATATGTTCTCACTCATAAGTGGACCCTGAACAATTATCATAATACTATAAGAAAGTGATTGGTAGTAGTAGGAAACTGCCGGGGAGGGGTCACACAACATCAATAAGGGTATATCATATCAAACCAAGTGAAGTAGGGACCAAAGTAAGGCCCAAACTTTACCTGTACAATGACCATTTGTATACCTAACCCTGAATTGTACTCATCTTTAAAAATTTTTTTTAAAGATTCTGGATAGCTAAAGCAATCTTGAGAAGAACAAGAAGCTGGAGGCATCACACTACCTGATTTCAAATTATATTACAAAGCAATGATAATCAAACAGCACAATACTAGCATAAAAATAGACTCAATGACCAATGGAACAAAATACAGAGCCCCAAAATGAACCACGCATTTATGGTCAATTGATTTTTGACAAAGGTGCCAAGAACACACAATAGGAAAAGGACAGTTTCTTCAACAGTGTTGAGACAACTGAATATTCACTTGCAGACGAATAGAATTGGACCCTTATCTCATTTCATATACAAAAATCAACTCAAAATGGATTACAGATTAACATAAGACCTGAAACTGTAAAACTAATTGAACAAAATTTAGGGGAAAGCATTCAAGACGTTGGTCTGGGCAATTATTATTTTTTTTATTTGACCACAAAAGCACAGACAACAAAAGCAAAAATAGATAGGATTGTATCAAACTAAAAAACTTCTGCACAGCAAAGGAAATAATTAACAGAATAAAGAAACAACCTAAAGATTGGAAGAAAATATTTGCAAACTATACATCTAATAAGGGGTTAATACCCTCTATATATAAGGAACTCAACGCAATAGTAAGAAAGTAATAACCCAATTTTAAAATGGGCAATGAACTTCAATAGATATTTTTAAAAGAAGAGATACCAATGGCCAATGGATATATGAGAAAATGTTCAACATTAGTAATCATCAGGAAAATGCAAATTACAACCACATGAGATATCATCTTACACTTGTTAGAATGGCTATCATGAAAAAGAAAAAAAAAGTTAAGTATTGGTGAGGATGTGGAGAAAGGGAATCCTGTATACTTACCATCAGTGAAAGTGCATATTTGTATGGGCACTATGCAAAACAATATAGAGATTCCTCAAAAAATTAAAAATAGAACTACCATATGAAATGAGATGAGTAAGTCAAAGAGTTTTCTTCACTCCCATGTTTATCACAGCATTATTTACAATAGCCAAGATATGGAATCAACCTATGTGTCCATCATTGTATGAATGGATAAAAAAAAGTATGCATCTACAATAGAATACTATTCCACATTATACAAAAAAAAGTCTTGTCATTTGAGAGAACATGGATGAACCTGGAGAGCATTATGCTTAGAGAAATAAACCAGGCACAAAAAAGACAAAATATTACATAATCTCACTCATATGTGAAATCTAAAAAACCTCAAACTCATAGAAGTAGAGAATAGAATGATGGTTACCAGAGGCTGGGGAGGGGGGAATGGAGAGGTATTGGACAAAGGGTACTATTTTCTGTTAGATTAGAGGAATAAGTTCCAGAGATGTATTGTTCAATATGGTGACTATAGTTAATAATAATATAGTATATATTCCAAATTCCTAAGAGAGTAGATTTCAAATATTCTCACCACAGAAACGATAAGTATGTGAGGTGATGGCTATGTTAAATAGCTTGATTTAATAATTCCACAATGCATACATATATGAAAATATTGTATTATGCCTTATAAGTATAAACAATTTAAAATGACTATTGTTGAGGTTGGTTGGGAAGATGGCAGCTGAGCCAGTCAGACTGTGCAAGTCCCTGTGTGAACGAGTGTATGAAAAATTTTGTGTAGGTGCTAGTGAGCAAGTAGGCGTGTGAGTGACTGAGTGAGGGTTAGGGAGTTAGTGGCCAGGTCTCTCCTGGTACAGCAACTGGTACCACAAATGCTGGGCTTGGACCCTAGTGACTCCTGGGATGCAGAAGCCGAATGCCATTATCTTTTTCTTTTTTTTTTTCCTTCTTTCTTTTGTTTTAATCAACAAACCCTCCCTGGGAAGAAAATGCTGGGAGAGATTGACTAAGTGCGGGTTCATGAGCAAGTGGCCAGGTCCTTGGTGCAACAGCTGGTGCTGCAGCTTCTCTGCTTCATCCCTGGTGCTTCTCAGGTTGCAGAAGCTGAGTGACACTTTTTTAAAATCGACAAAAGTTTTTCTGCCAAAAAGCGGCAGGGAGTAACCATTGCCCCAGGCTCTCCCTGACCATTGCAGCAGGAGAGAGACTGCTGGCTCCTGGCTTTGCCTCACCACTTCAGCACCTGTCAGGGCACTGGCAGTAGGGACTGTGGAGGGAGTCCAGAGGCAAAGTTCCATGAAAGAGGACAAGAGAGGCACCCACCACTATCTTAAGGCGGGGCAAGAAAGTGCTCTGACTTGCTCACCATGGAGCAACAGACCTATCTCTGTGACTGGTGGATCAACTACTGAGGGCTTGATTGTGGCCCAGAGGGAATATCCTAAAAGCACAAACTTCAGAGGGACCTGACAAGTGCCGAGTCCCAGGCGCTGCACCCCCTACCCTGATCCAGCCACAGAACAATGTGTGTGGCCAGGAAAGGATAAGGAAGGACTCCAAAGAGATCAGTGGTGAGTCTGGGGCTAACCCAAACCCCCTCCTCCCCAGCAATCCTCTCGACGTCAGACCAGCTGGGTCACAACTGAGAGGGACAAACCCAGGCAGAGCCTGGACGTCGCAATAGGAGAACTCCATTCCAGGTTAGGCCTGGCTGGGGCACCCCCCATGAGTACATACCTGGGGAAG